TTTAATTAATTTATTTTTTGAGACAGATTCTTGCTATGTCACCCAGGCTGGAGTGCAGTGGCACGATCTTGGCTCACTGCAACCTCCACCTCCCAGGTTCAAGCGAGTCTTCTGCCTCAGCCTCCCAAGTAGCTGGGACTACAGGTGTGTACCACCACATCCAGCTAATTTTTGTATTTTTAGTAGAGACAGGGTTTCACCATATTAGCCAGGCTGGTCTTGAAATCCTGACCTCGTGATCCACCTGCCTCGGCCTCCCAAAGTGCTGGGATTACAGGCGTGAGCCACCATGCCCGGCTGATTATTTTATTTTTTTTTAAGAGATAATTTTTTAAATGTTTGGTTTTTTTTACGGTATCTGATGAAATTACAGACTATATCCATTAAAATATTAAGTCTTATATGTGTGTATGTTATTTGGCCACTTGGTAAAAAAGCAAATTTATAGCCTGAAATGAATGCTTTTTACCTTTCTTTCCCTGGTTTGAGCACTACTAGCTGCCTCAAAGAACAGTCATATTCAAAAGCAAGTCTCGGCAGAATGCTCATAGACTAAAATTTAGGTGATAGTGCATGTTAGGAGAACTTTTATTTTCAAGCAGTTTTATCTATTAAGATGGTATTATCCTTGCCAAAGCCTCAAAAGACATAAAAAGCAATAAAGTCAGTGAGATTGAATGAACTTCGTAATGGGAATTAGAAGACCTGGGTTCAAATCCTTATTCTGCCAGAAGTTCTGAGTCTGAGCAGGTGAAATACTTGTTTGGGATATAATTCTTTAATCTATAACTTGAGACCTTGGATGTGATATTCTCTTAAAATCTTTTCCAGCTTAAAAAGTCTGTGACTGCATAATTGTTATATGTTCCTCATCGCCTCTAAATGTCTGTGTATACTTCTATTCTGTTTTTTTCTTGAAAGAAAAGTTAAGTGACTTTCCAAGACCAGTTCATATGAGCCTAAAACTGTCCCTTTCCAGTTGCTCTGATTTTGTTGATGTTCATTCATTTATCCAGCAAACATTTGTTTGTCATGTACGAGATTTCAGGTTCTTTTAGGTTCTGGGGAGAGAAAGATGAAGAAAGCAGCCTCTGTCCTCAAGGAGATTACAGTCTGGTAGGGGAAGAAAAATAATTATAGTGTAATTAAAAAGGGATGTGACATGACAGCATGGTGGCACAAAGAGGAAGTGCATATTCTTTTGACTAGTGAAGTAAGAGTTTACAGGGGACGGGACCTCTAAGCAGAGTGTTAAAATTCAAAGGCTTGTCGCCCCCAGTAAAATATTGTATATTCTTAATGCATAAAAATTAGGAAGTACAGATAAGCAAAAATCAAGAAAACAACCACTGCTAGTACCTTGATGTGCATTCCTTCCCACCCATTTGAAGGTGAGTTTTTTTTTTTCTTTTTTCTCATTTAAGAGATGGGGGTCTCGCTAAATTGACCAGGCTGGTCTTGAACTCTTGGCCTCAAGTGATTCTCCCATCTTAGCCTCCCAAAGTGCTGGGATTACAGACATGAGCCACCATGAAAGTGGGTTTTATAGGATGCCTAAAATACTATAATAAAAAGAGTCAGGATTGACTCTTTTTATTATATTCCTTCAAGAGAAGGAAGCATTAGAGACAAAAGGAATGATGAATGCAAAGGCATGAAGGCCTGAAAAAGCATGTTGTGTATGGCCTCCCATAACTACTGAATACTTAGGTGTGCCTGGTTCATGAAAGATATTGCATGGGGAATGAGCAGGTGTAGGAAGTTTTCAATTACATCATAGAGGGCTTTGCATATGATATACTAAGGCATTTAGAGTCTGTCTATAGGAAATCAGAAGGCTTAAAGGGTTTTAAGCTAGGCAAGGGACAGATTCATTATGTGATTTGCATTTCAGAATACTTATTCTGGCCAATTTCAAAAAGGCAGACTGAACATTCACTACCTTTTTGCGTTGCATCACCAAACCTGTAGAAGTAGTAGAACAATTTGAATGTAGCTGTGTATAGACACAAGAAGGGGAACTCTCCATAAATCCAAAAACTGTGAAGAATTTCTGAAAATAAATAGTAGGTCCTGTAGGGTAACAACTTATACCCATAGATAAGAGGCTAGGAAGGGTCCTAGATTAATTAGTAGGGTGATTCATTAGCATTATTGCAACATGAGCAGCCAAGCAGCTTCGACTTGTATACATTTTAATACCAACTTGGGCCAAGTAAAGGATCTTTTGCCATGTGAGAACTGCATGTAGGAGCCCTGGGTCTATGAGAGTAGGAAGTACATGTGGGTAACTGGCTGTATTCATGCCTAGAAATCCAAGGACTGAGAACCCTGTCTGTGACATCTTCTGCTTCTCCTCCACTCCCACTGAAAGCAATATGAGTACTGCTCCTGAGCGAGCTTTACCAAAGCCGACAGGGTGTAACAGAATCCCAAGTACAAAGATAAGAATCTCTAAATGTTTTAGGAAAGCCAACACTATAAAAAAGAATCAACAAAAAAGAACTTAGGATCAAATAAAAAGTTACTAGAACAGAGTTCTAAAATAAGTATACCTAATACTTTTAGACAGATAGGGAATTTATTATATCCTTAACAAAAACAAGTGTCTATAAAACAAGAGTAGGCATTTATTAAAAAGAGTCAATTAGAGATCTGGGGAATGAAAAATACGGTTGTTCAGATACAACAATCTTTTGGTGCCAAGGTGGATGGATTAGAACTGTGCATGATTGGTAACTGGGAGAACTTGCTCTTTTTTTTTTTTTTTAAAGATGGAGTTTTGCTCTTGTCACCCAGGCGGGAGTGCAGTGGCATGATCTTGGTTCACTGCAACCTCTGCCTCCCGGGTTCAGGTGACTCCCTGCCTCAGTCTCCCCAGTAGCTGGGATTACAGGTGCCTGCTACGATGCCCGGCAAATCTTTGTTTTTTTGTTTTTTTTTTTGAGACAGAGTCTTGCTCTGTTGCCAGGCTGGAATGCGGTGGCACAATCTTGGCTCACTGCAACCTCCGCCTCCCAGGTTTAAGCGATTCTCCTGCCTCAGCCTCCTGAGTAGCTGGAACTACAGGCATGTGCCACCACTCCCAGCTAATTTTTTTGTATTTTTAGTAGAGACAGGTTTTCACCATGTTGGCCAGGATGGTCTCAATCTCTTGACCTCATGGTCTGCCCACCTTAGCCTCCCAAAGTGCTGGGATTATAGGCATGAGCCACTGGTGCCCGGCCAATTTTTAGTAGAGATGAGGTTTCACCATGTTGGGCAGGCTGGTCTTGAACTCTTAACCTCAAGTGATCTTCCTGCTTCAGCCTCCCAAAGTGCTGTGAGCCATGCACCCAGCCAGGACTGGATCTTTTTGATGCTCCAGTGATATAATGAGTCCTAAACTTAGCAGCATAATGAGACAAATACAAGAGTTGTTAAGTATGTAGAATTAAGAAGACATACCTGTGTGGGAATGAGACAGAAAAGGGATTCTAGACTACTTTTTTTTTTTTTTGAGACGGAGTCTCGCCCTATTGCCCAGGCTGGAGTGCAATGGCGCAATCTTGTCCTACTGCAACCTCTGCCTCCTGGGTTCAACTATTCTCCTGCCTCAGCCTCCTGAGTAACTGGGTTTACAGGCACCCACCACCATGCCCAGCTAATTTTTGTATTTTTAGTGGAGACAGGGTTTCTCCATGTTGGCCAGGCTGATCTTGAACTCTTGACCTTGTAATCTGCCCGCTTTGTCCTCTCAAAGTGTTGGGACCATGTGCAGCCTGGATTCTAGACTATTATTAGGTTTCTTGATTGGTTGAGTGGAGAGATGATATTGCCAGAAACCATGGTAGCAAATGCAATAGTAAAAGCCTTTTGGGTATGAGAATAAAAGATACTTCTGTCTCACTTGAGCATGCTGAGATTGAGATGCCTGTGAGACAATCACACGGAAAAATGTTATAGTCTGTTAGACTAGTGGATATATGGATTTGGAACTCAAATGTTTGGGATTGAGCAAAATTTGGAAGTCATACGTAAGTGATAATTGTAGTTGATGGGTGAAGTTTCTCGGGGAGAATGAATATACCTTGAGACCAAATGACCACTACTGTTTGAGACTATGTTGAAGAAGGGGAGCCTGCAGGCAAGGGAGAAAAGAATGGTCGAAAGAGTGAGAGGTGAACCGAGAGTCATGTCATAGAAACCAGAAGTAAGGGAGTCGTCAGCAATGCCAGATTATCAAAGGATAAGTAAGGACTGAGTAGTGATTTGATAACTAAGACACACCAAAACAGGAACAGCTGAACTACCTTCCTCCAGACCACTTATGTGGGAGAAAAATAAACCTCTCATTTCTGCACATTACAGGTATTTGTCATGTGCAACAGAACCTAATCCTAACTGACACAGAGAGCCAGTCCATTGGGTGGATTAAGGCTAATATGGAGGATGGCCTTAGCAGTCTGTTCTTTGCAGGTGAAGAGGTTATGGCCCCAGTTGGTTTTTGATTTACAAGGCTGACATAAAGGGGAGATTATCTGAAAAAGATTTTGACACTGATCTAAATAATCCCTGAGAGAGCCTTTCTCAGCTTCAGATTCTGGAAGAACATGGCCATCCCTCTTGTAGTGTGAGCCAACCGAAACTCCATAGGAGACAAGAAGACTCAGAAGTTCTAAAGAAGATGTAATTTGAGTTTTCATAGCAGATGGCTGCCTGTGAAATAGTTATAACACTGCATCAGACATTAAAAATTTAAATTCATAGACTCAGTGCAGTGAGATTTAAGAGGGGATTATTATAAACAAGAAAGCATTCTGAGAACAGGAAAAAAGCTTTTCGAAAACAAAATCATTAATATTGAATTAAAATTAATAATAATGAAAAGTAGATTGGATAATCCAGTAAACAATACTGGTAAGTTAAAAGACTAGTTTATTTGATGCTCCAGAGTTGTGGGAAGGTAGACATGGAGATCATGACCAAAAAGGTAATAGATAGAGTAGATAGATGCAAGAAATTTGGTGTATATAAATTAGGTGTTTTAAAAGAACAGAGATGAGGCATAAGTAGTCAAGAAGTACTTACAGAAAATGTTGCTGAATTGAAGACTTTAACTTTAAAAAAAACTCACCAAATAAGATTAGTGAATGTAGTAGTCATATTTCTGATATTTAAGGATAAGAGGGAAAATTCTACAAATATTCAAAGGGGGGAACCAAATGATTTTCAAAGGGAAGACAATCAGGTTGGAATCCAGTCTTCTAATGAAAACTGTTAGATCAGAGAATTTAAGTTCCTTGGTTTAATAGACTAGTAAGATTCTAGTAGAAAATTTGGATGACTGGCATAAATTATAAACTTTTTTTTGGCTAAACAAGGCTATAAAATATAAAACAATTCAATAATTTTTGCTTTAGGTTAAATAATACTGTTATTGTTTTTGATTGTACTGAGAACTAGTGAGAACTTCGTCACCAAATAGCATTGGTTCTGGGCTTAGAGTTTGGGAACTACTGTGGTAGGTGATACTGGTCTTTCTACAAGTTTGTAAGAGAAGATATGACCTCAGGTTTTTTTTTTTTTTTTTGAGACAGAGTTTCACTCTTGTTGCCCAGGCTGTAGTGCAATGGTACGATCTTGGCTCACTGCAGCCTCCGCCTCCTGGGTTCAAGTGATTCTCCTACCTCAGGCTCCTGAGCAGCTGGGATTGCAAGCATGTACCACCATGCCTGGCTAATTTTGTATGTGTAGTAGGGACAGGGTTTCTCCATGTTAGGCTGGTCTTGAACTCTTGACCTCAGGTGATCTGCCCACCTCCGGCTCCCAAAGTGCTGGGATTATAGGCATGAGCCACTGTGCCCGGCCTGACCTCAGTTTTATACCTTGCTACACTGTCATTGATGTACAGAGGCTAAGAAGAGATTTCCAGACAGACAAGGTTTTGGAAATTATATTAACTTTGTACTTTTTCTAAAGAATATATCCAGGAGTATACTCTTTAGAATAATATAATTAGTAAACTTGATTTAACAGATTAGTATTAAACTTTGTGCCTTACAAGGGGATTTTATTTTGATTACCTGTAAAATAGTCATGAAACCTAAGCCACAGAAATAACAAAAATAGAAACCCAAAAGTATTTATTTTAAGCATTTGTTGTATTCTTTGTGCTAGTCTCTGAGGATACAGTGACAAACAGAGTTGTCTTATCCTGATCCTGCAGACTGGGAAGTTCAAGAGCTTAGTGCTCCATCTAGGGGCTTATGGTGAGGACTAGGTGGGTCAAAATATGGTGGAGAAACAGAAAAGGAGTGAGCATGTACAAAGAGATCACATTGTAAGTGTGGAAGCAAGAGAATTCTAGGAAGCCAAACTCCTTTTATAACAATCCACTCTTGCAGTAAATAGTCCAGTCCTGAGAAAGTGAGAACTCAATCCCACAGGAGAGAATTAAATCTATTTGAGGGATCTGCCCCCGTGACCCAAACACCTTCCACCAGGCCCTGCCTCCCAACAACACTGCTACCTAGGGGATCAAATTTCATCATGAGTTTTGGAGGGGACAAATCAAACTGTAGCAGAGATAATGTGATTTTTTTGTCCAGATTGAGCCTATAGTCTAGCAAGGGATACAAAATAACCAGATATTACAATGTAGGTTGGTAGATGCTGCAATGGATGGACCCCATAATTGAATGTGAGCATAGAACAGGAGCACTTAACCCGGATGAACAGGGGAGGCAGAGATGGCTTTCTAAAGAAGGAACATCTGAATTGAGACAAGGAAAGGAGACAGAGAAATTGAGAGGATTTCAGATTAGTTGATTACAGAGAGTATAAAGTGAGAGAAAGATATCAGGAGAGAGGTCACTAGGTACAGTGTCACACAGAACCTTGAAAGCAATGTTAGGGCAGTTGGACTTTATCCTGAGAGGAATGGGAATCTATTGAAATATTTTAATAATGAAAAGTTATATGATCTGGTTTGTTTTTTTAGGAAGATTACTCAGGCTGTAGTGTGAATGCATTAGAGCCAGGTAAAATTAAAGTTAGGGAGATCAATTAGGAAGTTGTCTTGGGGAGTCATTTGTTCTAACAATAATTTTTCTAGATTGGAGGTAATGTTAGATTGGCTACAGTAGGATCATAAGGATGGAGGTGGATTTGAGAAAGATTTAGAGTTTGGTGGTTGGATATTAGGAAGAGTAGAAAGAAGAGGACCAATCTAGTCTTAAATTTCTGGCTTATGCGGATAGGTAGATGATGGTGTGATTCAGTAGATAAACCTTGGAGCAGGAGATTAGGGAGGGTGGTTGAGTTCAGTTTGAGGTGCCTATGGGACATCTAACTTGAGATCCAGTTGGTATTTGGATAAGTTGGTCTGAATTTTAGAAGAGAGATGTGGGTTAGAGATTCTGATTTGGAGAGTATCAGCTTTGGGAAAATAAATAAAGTTGTGGATATGAAAGATTACCCAGGTAAAATGTGCAGAGACAGAAGAGGTGATCCAGGTCAAGGATCTTAGGAACATGTGCTTCTAAAATGAGGATTCTGACTGAGTGTGGTGGCTCATGTCTGTAACTCCAGCACTTTGGAAGGCCAAGGTGGTAGACTGCTTTAGTTCAGGAGTTTGAGACCAGCCTGGGCAACATAGCAAAACCCCATCGCTACAAAAAATACAAAAAATTTGCTGCGTATGGCAGTATGCACCTGTAGTCCCAGCTACTTGGGAGCTGAGGTGGGAGGAGCACCTGAGCCCAGGAAGCTGAGGCCGCAGTGAGCCATCATGATTGTGCTGCTGTACTCCTGCCTGGGTGACAGAATGAGACCCTGTCTCAAAAAAAAACGGGGTTAAGACTCTCAGAAGAAAAAAAGTAGGACAGAAATTCAGTAGACTGTGAGCTGACAATTCAAAAAACATTGTAAATGTATGTTGGGATTAAAAAAATTAGTAAATGAATGGTGAATGATGGGAGCTAGTTTTCTCATATTTAGGGAGTGAGGTAATCACAGGCAGGGGGAAGGCTAGAATGAATCATGTGGTACTGAATTAGAGTTTGAAACATAAGCATTGAACTCCTGTTTACCTTAATATTGGTACAGATTCAGAAATAAGTATAGATGTGTATGTATACATAGCCTAGTAGACATACATTTATTTCCTAGCTCTGTTTGCTGAGAGGGCCTAGGAGAAATGACAACCCAGTAGCACGAGCACACTCAGCATCAGATCTTGGTTTCTAATACCATTCTCAGGTAGAAAGAACTAAGGCTCCTTAGAAAATGGCTGACTCTAGGGCTGGGGCAGGGAATTTGCAAGTTGAGCCTGGAACATTGTAGAGTGCCAGAAAATAAGAAAATATGCAAAATGCAAAAGGACAGGGGCTTGGCAAAGGGATACAGGAACTAACTAAAAGATCACCCAATGACGGAAGCTGGAACAATTTGCACAATAATATAAATAACATTGTATTACTGGATTATGACCCAAAGCATAAAATAAATATCCCTAAGTCCACACTGATTAAAATAAACAGTTAAATAATTATTGTCCCCACTTATTTATTTATCTTGTACAGAAGAATTCCAAATAATTTGTGCAGACACTTCTCTCCTCAAGGAAGTGGAACTTAATCCCCTACCCTCCCACCACCCCCTTGAGTATGGGCTGCACTTGGTGACTGAGAGGGAATGGTTAATTATATGGATTCTGTTTGAGATCATGTGAGTCAAGAACCAAGGTATTTACGTAGGATATAGCATTAAAGAATGCTCGTCAATCCCATTACTGGGTATATATCCAAAGGATTATAAATCATTCTGTTCTAAAGACACGTGCACACATATGTACATTTAGGCACTGTTTGTAATAGCAAAGACCTGGAACCAACCCAAATGCCCATTGATGATAGAATGGACAGAAAACATGGCACATATACACCATGGAATACTATGCAGCCATAAAAAATGATGAGTTTGTGTCCTTTGTAGGGACATGGATGAATCTGGAAACCATCATTCTCAGCAAACTGACACAGGAACGGAAAATCAAACACCGCATGTTCTCACTCATAGGTGGGTGTTGAACAATGAACACACGTGGACACAGGGAGGGGAGCATCACACACTGGGGTCTCTTGGGGAGGTTGGGGAGGGATAACGTGGGCAGAAGTGCCAGATATAGGTGACGGGGGGATGGAGGCAGCAAACCACATTGCCATGTATGTACCTGTGCAACAATCCTGCATGATCTGCACATGTACCCCAGAACTTAAAGTATAAAAAAAATATGCTGGTGATCTCAGAGGGAACAGTTTGTGGGGAGAGGTAGATACTTGTGCTCTTAATGTATATAGCTCTAAATTTAACCAACCTTGTAGAATATTCTGTGCTTTTATTAAATTTTTTTTTCTTTGAAATGGAGATTCACTCTCTTGCCCAGGCTGGAGTGCAGTGGTGTGTTCTCAGCTCACTGCATCCTCCGCCTCCCAGGTTAAAGCAGTCCACTTGCCTCAACCTCCCGAGTAGGTGGGATTCCAGGTGCCCGCCACCACACTCAGCTAATTTTTGTATTTTAGTAGAGATGGGGTTTCAGCATGTTGGCCAGGCTGCTCTTAAACTCCTGACCTCAAGTGATCCCAAAGTGCTGGGATTACAGGTGTGAGCCACCACACCTGGCCTGTTTTTATTATATGTAATCACAAACTGACAGCTATTTAATGTCTATCAAAACTTCACTGAAGCTATGATTGTACCACCGTACTCTGGCCTGGGCAACAGAGCAAGATCTCATCCCTTAAAAACTTTACTTAATAGCAAAAAATCCACATCAGATATGAGACAGACAGTCTAATGAGTATCTTAATTATGCATTCATGTAGTTTCTTGTATTAAGTCTTCAGAGAACAAAAGTATCAAGACCACATCATCTTAGTCTCCTGTGACATGAAAATGCCTGTGCTGAGTTCTAATTTAATGATATGTTATCTGTCTATATAGAATCCATCTGTAAGACACATCATTTGAATGATTTGCATTTTCTAAAATTATATTTGAAACTACAGTCCTAGGTTCATTGTTCTTTGTACAAGTGCATCTCGTTCAGATACAAAATTTACATGTTTACTTTTTCTTCTTATTGCAAAATGAAAACTTAGAACCTGGAAAACATGGACCCAGATTTGACACTTGGTGTTTTTAATTTGCTGATATCATAAGCTTGTTAGTATCTAATTGAATTGTCTATTGCCATGTAACAAATCACCCCAAAACCTTGTGACTACAGCAGTGATTTACAATTTTTATAATTCTGTGGATCAGCAGTTTGATCAGGGCTCAGATAGGGGATTCTTCTGCTCTACGTGGCATCAGCTGGGATCACTTAGTTGGTAGCTGGTATGGGTTGGATAGTCTCAGGCTTTCTTCACATGCCTGACACTTCTGTATGCCTCCACATGGCGTCTCCACAGCATTGTGATGTCAGGGTAGTTGGATTTCTTACATGGCCTCTGGCTTCCAAGAAGAGAGAAGGGGAAGCTACCAATCTTCCAGGTTACTGCAGTTTCAGAACGTCACTTTGAGCACATTCTTCCTGCTGGTCAAAGCAAGTCACAAGGCCAACCAGGATTCAAGGGACTAGGAAATAAAGCCTCATCTTTTCATAGGTGGAATGGCATGTGCACATTAAAAAGGAAATAATGCCAGCCACGTTTGGAAGATAGTATGTGACCATACCATCTATTATAGTGTCTAATCTTTTAATTTACATGATTTTATTATGATTAATTCTATTTCTCTTCTATTTTAACTTGTAACAATTTAAGTTCTTTTGGAAATTATGTTAAAAATCTCAAATTAAAATTATTACCTTAATTTAATAGAAAAGATTTTAAGATAATGGGAGGCCTGGATAAACCTCTTTTTTGTTGTCATTCACTATACATTCGTCTTGTCATTGACTATAAATTTAATAAGTATCTTGGATTATTTTAGTTGAAAATCTTCAAAACATCTTTGTTTAGTAAATGCAGCTCTATTAGGAGAATTTGTTCTTTGATTTTAGTTTTCCCTGAACTGGGAGGCTTACAGACATGTGTCCATATTTTTTTAAGCCCTGATAAATTATGTAGAGCACAGTTTAGCACAGACTATCATAATTTAAAATGCAGATACTCTTTGACTCAGTAATTCTGCTTTATGAGTACAGAGATATAGCATTGTCTGTATGGCAAAATATTGGAAATGACATCATCAGTGAGAGACTGATTAAATTGTGATATATTCATATATCATGAGATTGTTAAAAAAAGGATGAGGGAATTCTATAAGAAATGGCATGAAATGAGTGGTAAGATACACTATGTTAAAATGATACAAAACTCTAGTGTATTGTATTAATCTGTTTTCATGCTGCTGATAAAGACATACCTGAAACTGGGCAATTTACGAAAGAGAGAGGTTTAATGGACTTACAGTTCCACATGGCTGGGGAAGCTTCACAATCATGGTGGAACGGGAGGAGGAGCAAGTCACGTCCTAAATGAATGGCAGCAGGCAAAGAAAGAGGGCTTGTGCAGGGAAAGTCCCCTTAGGAAACCATCAGATCTTGTGAGATGTATTCACTACCACAAGAACAGCATGGGAAAAGACCTGCCCCATGATTCAGTTACCTCCCACCAGGTCCTTCCCACAACATGTGGGAATTCAGGGTGAGATTTGCATGGAGACACAGCCAAACCATATCATTTCACCCCTGGCTCCTCCCAAATCTCACGTCCTCACAGTTCAAAACCAATCCTGCCTTCCCAACAGTCCCCCGACTCTTAGCTCATTTTAGCATCAGCTCAGAAGTCTACAGTCCAAAGTTTCATCCAAGACAAGGCAAGCTCCTTCCGCCTATGAGTCTGTGAAATCAAAAGCGAGTTAGATACTTCCTAGATACAATGAGGATGTAGGCATTGGGTAAATACAGCCATTCCAAATGAGAGAAATTGGCCAAAAGAAAGGGGCTACAGGTCCCAAGCAAGTCCGAAATCCAGCAGGGTAGTCAGATCTTAAAGCTCCAAAGTGATCTCCTTTGACTCCATGTCTCACATCCAGACACACTGATGCAAGGGGTGGGTTCCCATGGTCTCGGGCAGCTCTGCCCCTGTGGCTTTGCAGGGTACAGCCCCTCCTCCTGGCTGCTTTCATGGGCTGGCGTTGAGTGTCCATGACTTTTCCAGGCACACAGTGCAAGCTGTCGGTGGATCTACCATTCTGGGGTCTGGAGGATGGTGGCCCTCTTCTCACAGTATCACTAGGTGGTGCCCCATTAGGAACTCTGTGTGGGGCCTCCAACCCCACATTTTCCTTCAGCACTGCGCTAGCAGAGGTTCTCCATGAGGGCCCCACCCTTGCAACAAACTTTTGCCTGGACATCCAGGTGTTTCCATATATCTGAAATCTAGGTGGAGGTTCCCAAACCCCAGTTCTTGACTTCTGTGCACTCACAGGATCAACACCATGTGGAAACTGCCAGGGCTTTGGGCTTGCACCTTCTGAAATAATAGCCTGAGCTGTACCTTGGCCCCTTTTAGTCACAGCTGGAGTGGCTGGTACACAGGGCGCTAAGTCCCTAGACTGCATGCAGCAGAGGGACCCTGGGCCCAGCCCACAAAATCATTTTTTCCTCCTAAACCTCTGGGCCTATGATGGGAGGGGCTGCCACAAAGGTCTCTGACATGCCCTGAAGATGTTTTCCCCATGTCTTGGCGATTAGCATTCGGCTCCTTGTTACTTATGCAAATTTCTGCAACTGGCTTAAATTCTCTTTAGAAAATAGGATTTTCTTTTATATCACATTGTCAGGCTGCAAATTTTCCACATATTTTAATGCTCTGTTTCCCTTATAAAACCAAATGCCTTTAACAGCACCCAAGTCACCTCTTGAATGCTTTGCTGCTTGGAAATACCTTCTACCAGATACCCTCATTCATCTCTCTGAAGTTCAAATTTCTATAAATATCTAGGACAGGGGCAAAATGCCAACAGTCTCTTTGCTAAAAACATAGCAAGAGTCGTCTTTGCTCCAGTTCCCAACAACTTCCTCATCTCCCTTTGAGACCACCTCCACCAGGATTTCATTGTCCATATCATTATCAGCATTTTGGTCAAAGCCATACAACAAGTCTTATGGAGTTTGAAACTTTCCCACATTTTCTTTTCTTCTGAGCACTCTAGACTGTTCCAGCCTCTACCTGTTACCCATTTCCGAAGTAGCTTCCACATTTTTGGGTATCTTTTTATCTAACCTCTGCCTGTTATCCATTTCCAAAGTAGCCTCCACATTTTTGGATATCTTTTCAGCAGTGCCCCACTCCCAGTACCAACTTACTGTATTAGTCTATTTTCATGATGCTGATAAAGACATACCCCAAACAGGGCAATTTATAAAAGAAAGAGGTTTAATGGACTTATATTTCCATGTGGCTGGGGAGGCTTCACAATCATGGCAGAAGGGGAGGGGGAGCAAGTCACATCTTACATGGATAGCAACAGACCAAGAGAGAGAGCTTGTGCAGGGAAACTCTTCTATATGAAACCAGCAGATCTCATGAGATTTATTCACTACCATGAGAACAGCATGGGAAAAGCCCTGCCCCGATGATTCAGTTACCTCCCACTGGGTCCTTCCCACAACATGGAATTCAAGATGAGATTTGGGTGGAGACATAGCCAAATCATATCAAATATGCCACCACTTTTGTTTAAAAAAGCGTATGCTTTGGGCTGCACATGGTGGCCCATGCTTGTAATCCCAGCACTTTGGGAGTCCAAGGCGGGTAGAAAACAAGGCCAGGAATTTGAGACCAGCCTGGCCAACATGGTGAAACCCCATGTCTACTAAAAATACAAAAATTAGCCAGGTGTGGTGGCAGGCACCTGTAGTCCCAGCTACTTGGGAGGCTGAAATGAGAGAATTGCTTGAACCTGGGGCTGGGGGACAGAGATTGCAGTGAGCTGAGATTGCGCCAGTGCACCCCAGTCTGGGCAACAGAGTGAGACTCAGTATTAAAAAAAAAAGTGTACACTTTTATATGCATAGAATGTCTGTGAATACATTAAGTAAAAAGGGAAGGGAGCTGGATGATTGGAGGGAAATTTCTGATCACCATCACTTGTTTTGTACAGTTTTCTTTTTGTACCAAGTACTTGTGTTACCTAACTTTAAAAATGCTCTGATAGGCCAAGTGCAGTGGTTCTTGCCCGAAATCCCACCACTTTGGGAGGCCAAGGAAGGTGGATCTCTTGAGGTCAGAAGTTTGAGACCAGCCTGGCCAACATGGTGAAACCCTATCTCTACTAAAAATACAGAAATTAGCTGGGCGTGTAATCCCAGCTACTCAGGAGGCTGAGACGGGAGAATTGCTTGAACCTGGGAGGTGAAGCTTACAGTGAGCCAAGATTGTGCCACTACACTCCAGCCTGGGTGACAGAAGAAGACTTTGTCTCAAAAAAAAAAAAAAAAAAAAAAAGCTCTGAGAATTATCATTTGTGGGTGTCTTTTTGTGTAAGACGGAACATTATATGCTCTATCCAGGCAGGATTGGTCCTGTTTGAGATAGCAGGAAGACCAGTAGGAAAGATTAAACATAGGTATCGTATCTCTAGACTGCTTGTTTGCTTGTTAAGAGTTGTCATTTTTGCATTGTCCACATATTCTGTCCATTATTTTTACTCATTGTTTTTTTTTTTTATTGTGTTGAAGAGTTCTTTAGATTCTGAAAAGTTCTTCATCAGATACTTGTTTTGCAAATATTTTCTCCAAATTTGTGGCTCATCTTTATATAACACTATCTTTTGAAGAGTAAAAGTTTAAAATTTTAATAAAGTGTTATTAATTTTTTTTTCTTTTATTGTTTGTGCTTTTAGCATTATATATAAAAACTCTGCTTCACACTGAAATAAGACCAACCTGCATATGAATCCTGGCTTACCAGCTATGTAACATTGGGCAAATATAAGTTTTCTCATCTGCAGTGACACTAATAATACCTTCCTTAGGAGAATATTGACGATTAAAGGAAATAAAATATATGTCACGCATTTGTTCATTCTTTTGTTTAACAAATGTTTACTCTGTGCCATCTATATGCCAGGCATGATGTGAATGCTCTTTATTCAGCAGGGCATAAAAAAACAAAAAACTCTGCTTTAGTGAGAGGTTGGCAAACTAATGACCTGATTTTCAGCCCACTACTTGCTTTTGCAAATAAAATGTTATTTGAATGCAGCCATGAACATTTGTTTATGTATTGTCTATGGTTGCTTTCATGCTACAATGGCAGATAGTTTCAGCAGAGGCTGTTTGTTCTCTGCAGGATAAGTTTACCAACCCCTGGGCTAAGATTTTCTTCTATATTTCCCTAAGTTGTATAGTTTTGAATTTTTTATATTTAGGTCTATTAATTTTTTTTTTTTTTTTTTTTTTTGAGACGGAGTTTCGCTCTTGTTACCCAGGCTGGACTGCAATGGCGCGATCTCGGCTCACCGCAACCTCCGCCTCCCGGGTTCAGGCAATTCTCTTGCCCCAGCCTCCCGAGTCGCTGGGATTACAGGCACGCGCCACCATGCCCAGCTAATTTTTTGTATTTTTAGTAGAGACGGGGTTTCACCATGTTGACCAGGATGGTTTCGATCTCTTGACCTCGTGATCCACCCGCCTCGGCCTCCCAGGTCTATTAATTTTTGTGTAAGACATGAGGTGTGGGTTGAGGATTTTGTTTTGTTTTGTTTTGTTTTAGCATATGGATTGCCAATTGTTCCAGCAACATTTGTTGCAAGACAATTCTCTTTCCATTGAATTACCCTGGTACTTTTGTTTGAAATCAATTGACCATAAATATATAGATTTATTTCTGGACTATCCCTTCTGTTCCATTGATCTTTGTGTTTATCGTTATGGCAGAATCACAATGTCTTAATTGCTATCGCTTTATAGAAAGTCTTGAAATCAGTGAGTCTGAGTTCTACAACTTTGTTCTTCTTTTTCAAAAGTGTTTTGACTATTCTAGTTTCTTTGCATTTTCATAAAATTTTGGAATCAACGTGTCAGTTTTTAGAAAAAGCCTGCTGGGATTTTAATTGGATTTACATTAATGTGGGGAGAATTGACATCTTAACAATATTGATTGATCTCATCTTTGAAAATAGTGTATCTCCAATTATTGAGGTTTTTCATTTTTCTCACTGTGCTTTGTGTGTGTGTGTGTGTATATATATATATATATATATTTTTTTTTTTTTTTTTTTTTGAGATGCAGTCTCACTCTGTCGCCCAGGCTGGAGTGCAGTGGAGCGATCTCAGCTCACTGCAACCTCCGCCTTCCGGGTTCTAGGGATTCTCCTGCCTCAGCCTCCCGAGTAGCTGGGACTACAGATGCATGCCACCACGCCTGGCGAAGTTTTTGTATTTTTAGTAGAGATGGGGTTTGACTGTGTTAGCCAGAATGGTCTCAATCTCCTGACCTCCTGATCTGCTTGCGTTGGCCTCCCAAAGTGCTGGGATTACAGGCATGAGCCACCACACCCGGCCTGTGTGGTTTATATTTTTGAGTACACAAATCTTTCATTTATTTTGTTATATTCTATTTCTTTTTAATGCTTATATAATTGCTACTATTTTGTTAATTCATTTCTAATTATTCATTACTACCACTAGAAGTACAGTTTAATATTGTGTGTTGACCTTGTCTTCTGAAATTTTGCTCAATTCATTTACCAGTTTTAGTAGTAGAAATTTATTAGATAAGTTTAGTAGATAAATCCTTTGCGATTCTCTATATAGACAATCTTGTTATTTGTGAAAAAAACAGCATTGTTTCCACTTTTAAAATCCATCTTCTGGCTTTTATTCCTTCTTCTTGCATCACTGTATTGACAGTATAGTACAGTACAGTACATTGTTGAATAGGAGTGGTGAGAGCAGATGTTCTTGCCTTGTTCATCGTCTTAATAGACAACATTTAGTCTTTTGTGATTATCTATATAATATTAGCTATAGATCTGTAGGCTGAGGATGTTTTCTTCTGTTTCTGAGAGTTTTGAATCATGAATGATTATGGAAGTTTTTCAAATGCTGCCTTTTTTTTTTTTTTTTTTTGGAGGCAGAATCTCACTTTGTCACGCAGGCTGGAGTGCAGTGGGGGGCGATCATCTTGGCTTACTGCAGCCTCTGCTTTCCAGGTCAAAGCGATTCTCCTGCATCATCCTCCCCAGTAGCTGGGGTTATAGGTGTGCGTCACCATGACCAGCTAATTTTTGTATTTTTAGTAGAGACAGGGTTTCACCATGTTGGCCAGGCTGGTCCCAAACTCCTGACCTGAAGTGATCTGCCCACCTTGGCCTCCCAGAGTGCTGGGATTACAGGCATGAGTCACTGTGCCTGGCCCAAACACCCCCCCCAACTTTTTTTGCATTAATTAAGATGATCATTTATTTTTCAGTGTGTTGACATGGTGGATTACGTTGATAAGTTTTTTTTTTCATGTTGAACCAGCGTTGCATTTCTGGGATAAATAGTATTTGGCTATGATATATAGTTCTTTTTATTATTGGCTAGATTCATTTGGTTAAGATATTTTCCATCTATGTTCATGAAAGGATGATGGTCTGTAGTTTGTCTGATTTTTGTATAGGGGTCAATGCTCTTTTCATAAAATGAATTGGGAAATGTTTTCTTCTTGTTTCTGGAAGAGTTTTTGTAATATTGGTATGATTTCTCATTAAATGTTTAGTAGAATTCACCAAGGAAGCCATTTGTCATGGAACTGTTTTAACGGGAAGATTTTAAATTATGAGTTAAGGAATTGGTATGTTTTATCTAAGTTGTAGAATTTATTGCCATAAAATTGTTCAGAATATTCCCTAATTACTCTTTTAATAGCTATAAATTCTCTAGTGATGTCTTCTTTTCATTACCAATGTAGGTAATCTGTGGCTTTTCTTTCTCTTTTTTTTGATTACTCTGGTCAGAAATTTAGTTTCACTGAACTTTTCAAAGAATTAGATTTTTGTTTCATAGATAGTCTCTATTTTTTGTTTTCAAATTTTTCCTTCAAATTGCTTTGTGTTAAATTTACTCCTCTTTTTCTACTTCCTTAAGGTAGAGGGTTAAATTATTGATTCAAGCTTGACCTTACTTGTTTTCTAATGTAACCATTTCATGCTATAAGTTTCTAAAAACTACTTAAGTGGTATCCCTGTTTTTTTAGGAGCAGAGGTGTAACGAGAAAGAGAAAGAGAGAAAGGAAAACAGTCCTCTCTCTAGTGAGAGAGAGGGGACTTTGGGGAGGGAAAGAGGACAGGAGATAATGGTGATTGTGGACAGGAAAGGAGGAAATTATGATAGAAAATGTGGAGATCCTGTTGCTGACACCTCATTGGGAGGCTGAAGGCTGGAGTCAGTCCGGAAGCCTTTGGATAACAGCCAGAAATCCTCAGTTACTCCAGAACCTCTTCTAGCCCCATACCACAGCTGAGTCCTCCTTGAAAGGAAGCTGGTTCAAACATGGCCAACATACCCAGCAACCTGTGGGTGCTGGGGGATTCCCAGTGTCCTCCCTAGTAAGCCACGCATCCTAGTCTTTAAGAATGGCAGCCACTCTAACCATGTTTTTAACTGGCCTATGAATGCCTGTTATTGATTTGATTTGGTTTTAATATGGAGGCTGAGAGCACCAAAATGAAAGGACGGAGTTGGAGTCCATTTCTCTGCTTACGTTTTGATGAATGCTGTACCTTGGTATCCCAGTCGAGGTTCCCAATATAAAGCAGCTACATTGTCTAGGGTAAGTACTTGGGATCATATCACACCAAGAAAATTTAGGACATAGACACACACAAGAAGTTTAGGAGTGGAGGTTTAATAGGCAAGAGAAAGAGAAAGAAAGAGAAAGGAAAACCGCTCTCTCTCCAGTGAGAGAAGAAATTACGATAGAAAATGTGGAGCTCCTGTTGCTGACACCCCATTGGGAGGTTGAAGGCTGGAGTCAGTCCAGAAGCATTTGGGGAACACCATGGGGTAGACCCAGCCAGAAATCCTCATTGTTCAGCTCCCAATTACAAGTGAGAACATGTGTTTGGTTTTCCATTCCTGTGCTAGTTTGCTGAGGATAATGGCTTCCAGCTCCATCCATGTACCTGCAAAAGACATGATCTCATTCTTTTATGGCTGTATAGTATTCAGGGATGTATATGTACTACATTTTCTTTATCCAGTCTCTCATTGATGGGCATTTGGGTTGATTCCATGTCTTTGCTATTGTGAATGGTGCTGCAGTGAACATATGCTTGGATGTGCCTTTATGGTAGAATGATTTCTATTATATTCCTTTGGGTATATACCCAGTAATGGCATTGCTGGGTCATGTTTACAGGAAAAAAACAAACAACCCTGTTAAAAAGTGGGCAAAGAACATGAACAGACACTTCTCAAAAGAAGGCATTCATGTGGCCAACAAACATATGGAAAAAAGCTTAACATCACTGATCATTAGAGAAATGCAAATGAAAATCACAATGAGATACCATTTCATGCCAGTCAGAATGGCTATTAAAAAGTCAAGAAACAACAGATGGTGGTGAGACTGTGGATTAATAGGAACACTTTTATGTTGTTGGTGGGAATGCACATGCATTCAACCATTGTGGAAGAAGACAGTGTGGCGATTCCTCAAAGACCTAGAACCATAATTTTTTTCTTTTCTTATCTTGTATTGAATTACTCCTTTTCCATGATTTCATTTTATCTCTACTCTTAGCTATTTATTTACGTTGCTCTAGGTCATAGTTCCTAAACCTTGACACTACTAATATTTTGGGCCAGCAAATTCATTGTTGTTGGGTTGGGGGGTGGCTATCCTGTATGTATTGTAGGATTTTTAGTAACATCCTTGGCTTCTACCTTCTAGATAAGAGTAGCAGTCACTTCCCATTCCCAATTGTGACAACAAAAATGCCTTCAGACTTTGCTAAATGTTTTCATGGGGGTGGCAGCGGTGGGTCAGGGGTGGGAACTAACCTTGGCTGAGAACTGCTGCTCTAGAGTTTAAAAGGTATGTCTTTAACTTATCACATTCTTCCTTTAAATAATATTATACCACTTTATATGTCATGTAATACTTTACAGCACTGCACTTCAATTTTGTACCTCTCCTTTTTATGCTATTTGTGATATATTTTACTTCTGTATGTTACTAACCCCACAATACAGACTTACTAATTTTTGCTTTAGTTGGTGAATAAACTTCTATAGGGAACAAAGTAAGAAAAAGTAGTATTTTATATTTATCTTCTAATGCTCTTCATCTTTGCCACCTTCTCCTCTCCCTCACCTTCATCCTCCCCCTACTCCTCTTCCTCTTCCTCCCCTCCCTGCCCCCTTTTTTGGTAGATCCAAATTTTTACCTGGTATTATACCTCTGCCTGAAGAACTACCTTGAACATATTTTGTGTCTGCAGGAGGTGAATTCTCTCAGGTATTATTAAGTCAAAAAAACCATTTATTTTCTAAAAGTATTTTTGCTGGATATAGAATTTTGTATGTAGAACTGAATTCTATGTTCAGTTTTTTTTTTCTTTCAGTCCTTTTTCTTTCTTTCTCTTTTGGCTTGCATAATTTCCTGATAAGAAGTCTTCTGTAATTTTAATCTTTGTTTTTTTGTATGTAATATTTCTTTTTTCTCTCTCTACCTTTGCAGTTTTTATCTTCGTTTTCAGCAGTTTGACTACGATATATCCATGTCTATTTGTTTAGTGTATGTGCATATGGTGTTTATTATGAAGGGTTTTTTGGGATGTTTTGGATCTCTGGTTTGTTTCCTTGGGTTCAATTGGGAAAATTCCTGGCAATGATCTCTTCCCATATTTTTTGTGTCAATTTTTTTTTCTTCTCCTGGGAGTAATAGACATTTTGATATAATTTCACAGCTCTTGGATACGCTGAACTGTATTTTTCCCCCCACTCTTTTTAACTTTGGTTTCATTCTGGGTGATTTTTATTGACCTGTCTGCAAGTTCACTTATTCTTTCTTCATCCCTGTCCAGACTACTGTTGAGCCAGTCAAAGTGCTATTGAACTGAACGGGGTTTGTTTGCCTGTGTGCAATGGAAAGCTGAATTAGTACTTTTTCACACTGCTGATGAAGACCTACCCGAGACTGGGAAGAAAAAGAGGTTTAATTGGACTTATAGTTCCACATGGCTGGGAAGGCCTTGGAATCATGGTGGGAGGTAAAAGGCACTTCTGAAATGGCGGTGGCAAAAGAAAATAAGGAAGAAGCAAAAGTGGAAACCCCTGATAAAACTCATCAGATCTTATGAGACTTATTCATTATCACAAGAATAGCACAGGAAACACTGGCTCCCATGATTCAGTTACCTCCTCCTGGGTCTGTCCCACAACTTGGGAGAATTCTGGGAGATACGATTCAAGTTGAAATTTGGGTGGGGACACAGCCAAACCATATCAGAAGCCCAACACTGAAGCACCAGGTTTTTGTAGAGAGAAAAGTTTATTGTAAGGCTGCCGAGCTAGGAGACAGGAGAGTGGCTCGGATCTGTCTCCTGAGCTGAGGTTTGGGGCATGTTTATAGTCAGAGGGTAATGGGGCATGATCTAATTGGATCTTACAATGCGGTGATACCTAGAGGTGTGATCTGACTGGATCCTTTCTTGGGGTAATGCCAGGGCTTGATCTGATCGGATCCTGAATCCTGCCGTGTACTGTCTGCTGCTTACTTCAGTCCCTGTTCCTTGGTCTGAACACTTAGGTTCTACTTGGGTTGCATACTTGGTTTATCTGGGCATGCCCAGGTTATGTGATATCCAACCTGGGGGGTCCATGGCAACTGAAAAACAACTTACAACTTTATTACATGAAAGTCGAATCAGACCGGGCTAGTGCAGTCAGAAAAGAATTTTTCACCTCTGATATCTTTTTGTTTTTAGCTTTCATATTTTACTTTTTAAACTTTCCATCTCTCTGCTCAAAGGACAAGAGAGACTAAGGTGATCCTCTTTTGCTGCTGCCTCTGTCAGGTTGTTTGTGCTGGAGGTTAAATCAGCGTACTCAAGAGTTGAGCTGATTTTGGGTTTTGTCACCATCATTACCCTCTCAGTGCATCACAGGCTTCGTATTTCTCCTGCAGTTGGCTGCTGGTCCCTTGTGTTTAGAGAATGACATGTCACTCTGCAAGATTTCTCTCTGTGTTCCTGTACCATCCTCATCTTCCAACAGTCTTTGCACATCTGTGCAATACAAGTATCAGTATTTCTTATGTTATTGACCCTCTCCCATTAATTGCCTATTGCTGGTTATTTAGTGCCATGCTTGTGGTGCAGAGCAGGCTTCTCTTTTGTTCTGGTTCAGACTCAATTATATTCAGGCCATTTGTCCTGGGCATCAGTTGGGCTCTCTCAGCCTCAGCATTACTGCCTTCTCTTCCTTGTGGCCTGCCCTTTGTTCCATGTATTTGTGGTAGGTCATGGACAGGAATATCCTTCTTTCCCCTAGTAGTAGTAGAAGTCTCTTTGGTATTGGTGCAGGATTCTTTGCCTAACACTTTTTCCTGCTCTGTATTCTACCACCGTGGCAGAGGTTCTTTTACCTCTACCCCTCTCCTAACAACATTATATCTTTCCCTGTCCCATAAGGGAGAGTGTTTGTCTACCTCTTCCCCAGGAGCAGAGGCATTTTGCTTCTATTCTGCCCTGAAGCAATGGATTTCTGCCAGGACCTTTGGTTAGAGGATTTTATGTCCTTCTCCTAGTGGTTTGAAGCTTTTTGCTCTGTTAGAGAACAGTTGGGGAATCAGGCTTCAGCCTTGTCCTAGACACCTCCTGCACACTTCCCCTAATGATGAGGGCTGTCTCGGGTTTCCCGTCCTAGTATTATACTAATCTTTCATGTGATCACCTGGTCAAGGCATGAGGAAAATCTTGCAAGTGAGTGAGAACTTTCCTTATGTCTGAGGTCTCCAGCTATTCTAAACTGACATAGTAGGTTACACTTCGTCTTTAAGAATTTGTTAAAATTTTAGCTTTTTTCTTATACTGTTGTATAGTGGCCACTTCTTTTTCTGTGACCTGACAAAGGTCAGACAGTTTGTGTGTAGTCTTTCCTTGGAGGAGCTTATCCCTCTAAGGAGAGGAATAAAATTTACTTGGTGTTTTATTAAATTTGCTAGTTGCCTTGTGACCCCCACTCTTTGTTAGACCAAGAGAAGTTTTGATTTTATAGATAGGATTTTTTTTTTCTCATTAGTGTAGGAGTGACATTGTTTTGTGGCTTTCTGCATTTAAGCAGAAATGGGACTACTTGGAGTTCTTGACAGGTATGTTATTTAAAAATTATGTTTATGCTGATCCTCCTTTAATGTTTTCCCTTTTCCCTCATCTGCCTCTCAATCACTTCATCTTTTAGGATTGAACCTAAGCTATTTCCTCCATGAAACCTTTCCTGATTCCAGTAAGTAGAATGGAACATTCTTGACTGTGTCTCTTGTAGAACGTGTTTCATTTTTTTGCAGGCCCATTGAAACCCTCAGTGAGATTGGGCATCTTTAAGATTTTGCAAGTTTATGAGCATAATGGTTGTTGGATTTTTAGATACGATCATAGAGTAAACTTGAGATAAAAGATAAAATGATATACAGGGAAGCTCATGTTTATTAATAGAATACAATTTGTGAAATCATACCACACAGGTTTCTGTGCTGTTTGGTTCGTGTAGTTGTTGCTTTTTAACTAAATTATTGTCAGAAACAAGACTTAAATTTGTAAAAATCTAATATTTGAAAAATAAGGGATTGTTTACACAAACTAGTATATATTTACACAATGGAATATTGTAGAGCTGTAAAAGCTGCGAAGAAACATTTCCTAACTTGGAAAAATATCTAGGACATACTGGAGATTAAAAAGTAAGATGCAAAACTGAATATTTTGTGTCAGAAGGCAAGAGGAGTAAGATTATATTTATAGGTAAATATCTTTGCAGAAAGAATTGCTGGAAGAATATACAAGAAACTAATAAAAGTGGTAACCTACAGTAAGCAAGGGCAAAGTGAACTGCATGTGGATGATGTGGGAATGAGACTTTTTAGTTATAGCTTTCATTTTATATCATTTTGATTTTTAAATCATGAATATAGCATGTATTCAAAAAATGAAAACCAGTAGAAATAACTATGTAGACATTGAAAGATAAGAAGATCTGAAAAGTTCTTCAGAGCCAATAAAAAATATTAGTCTATGAAACAAAACTTGGATGTGAGACACTTTTATTTTAAATAAGCCAGCTCTCACCAATGCGAGAGTGAATACAAAGTGTGGAAAATTGTGAAGGACAAGGTTTTATGAATCTGACTCCAGATAAAAAAATATGTAAAAAGGTAGCTTTCCAGCACAATTAGGAAGGTTTTGGTTTTAGATGCAGTAGTAGTTTGGATAATCACTCAAAGCAGAAAGGAGCACTTTGAATAGGTAAAAACTATGGCAGAAATACACAGTACTTGGAGTGAGCAAGGCAGCCATTTCTCACTCATAAAATCACCAGGAATACCCTTGGAATCTGGTAAGATGTATTTATTGTCAGAAAAAAATAGATAAAAATACCAAGAATATTCTTATCACAAATTAAAACCTATAAATAAACAATAATTATTTAAATAGATTATAGTTCAGACACCCACCTTACGGGCAAACAAATGAGATATAAAAGAAGAAACTTTGTAAACCAAGGGATGATGAGAATTCCTTAATGTTGCTAGGAAAAACTGGTTGGTAATTTGAAATGCAGATCAGTTTAGAGCCAAATCTTTCTATACATTATATGAAATGAAGTATTGAGAAGGTTAGTCCATAGAAAAATGAAAATCAGAGCATTATCTTCTATCACTAAAGGGGCAGAAATTTCAAAACAGAGAAATGATAAAAGATATGAAAAAGGGAATGATGGACAAATCCATACACCTGAAAATAAAAACTTCTGTATTAAGGGCCAATGTTAAGACTGAGAACATGTTAAAAGTAAGCAAGAGAAATAGTACACGTAGAGCAACCCAAATTTGAAAATCTGAAATGCTCCACATTACAAAACTTTTTGAATGCTGACATGAGCTCAAAGGAAGTACTCATTGGAACAGTTTGAATTTCAGGTTTTCAGATTTCAGATTCTCAACTAGTAAGTGCCATGCAAATACCCCTAAATTGAAAAAAATCCAGAATCTGAAACACCCAGGCGTTTGGATAAGGGATACTCAACCTGTATTATCACAATATAAACAATTTACACAAATGGGTAAGGAAAACATAAAGAAATCTCTATTCCATTCCATCCCTAGTAGGGGTGGAAGAGGTAGAGTGGCAGAAGTTTGAGAAAAAAGGCAGTGTGAATTATGGGAGAAGGATCTGATTAATGAATGGTGCATAAAGGGTTGCTGCACAGCATTCAGTGTCTAGCCTTAAATAGCAAAAGCCAGCAGGATCAATTCACATGGTTGTGTGATTTTTCTCTAGCAAGCAACTGGATTAAGGACTTTGAAGGTGATGAAGCTGAAGGAAGAAATAGCATACTAGGTGGATTTGTAGTTTAGGAGATAACCAAGATTTCGAAACTGGAGATAAGAAGCGACTAGAATGGAGAAAGAACAGGTAGCATGCATCCAAGGTAATGAGTCTGGACCCAGGTTAGAAAAAATAGAGTGAGATATTGAGTAACAAATTGAAGAAGAGGGTCATACAGCCAGATGTGACATCACAGGGAAGGAAGGGGATTGCTTGTGAGGGTCTCGAAGTGTCACTCTGGAAAATTTTGTCTCTACCACCTTACCCTACAGTCTAGATAGAGCATTATTTTCAAGAGCCAGATTTAGCTCAGTGGTTGAAGAGTTGGTCAGTGATGAAATTGAGAATGTAGAGATGATTTGTTTTACTTACATAAGAGGGATTTCCAGAGGTCCTTGTGGAAAAGGTTGGAAGAAAGGGCAGCAATGGGAGACCAAATGGAGTGGATGAGAAAGCATAACTGCATGCAAATAGGTCAGAGGATAGTTGGCCAGAATGGTTTGCGTTTTGAATAAAGCCCAAGAGTTATAGGGGTAGGAGTTCCAGGTAGAATTAATTAGCCACACATTTCTGGCCTGCAGTATAATGACCGTCTCTGGAGCGGGCTGTCTTTGTGATTCTAAAGAGAATGTTAGTAAAAAGCTTAACCCTGGGTGGTAAAGCCTAAATTAATTTGGCCTTAAATAGCAAAAGCCAGTAAATCTCTCTCTTTTTTTAGACAGGATCTCACTCTTTTGCCCAGGATGGAGTACAGTGGCATGACCTTGGCTCACTGTAGCCTCGACCTCTTGGGTGCAAGCCATCCTCCTACCTTAGCTTCCTGAGTAGGTGGGACCACAGGTGCATGCCACCATGCCCAGCTAATTTTTGTATTTTTTTGTTGTTGTTGTTTAGAAACAGAGTTTTGCAATGTTTCCCATGTCAGTCTTGAACTCCTGAGCTCAGGCAATCTGCCCACCTTGGCCAAGCAAAGTGCTGGGATTACAAGCATGATCTACTGTGCCATTAATTGAGTAAAATCTAGTCTGTAATATCTTACTTGCAGTTGCTTAGGACGGCATGATAGCCATGATATCAGGTGCTTCTTTATTACAGAGTGCTTCTGGGAACTGTCTTTCCTGTTACTATTCTGCTTTACCTAAAACTGGATACTCAGGCTACTGCTGCTGAGGTGACTTCAGCAACTCCCCTGGGATACCAAGGCAAGCCCCAATTGATTGCATACCTTCTTTGGGGATCTGAGCTTTTAAAAAAGCCAGCAACTACCTTTTGTCAAGTTGATATATTTATCTATTATACCTTTAATATTTAGTAACAAGAATGATAATTGACATTTCTTGAATAACCAGAACATCTGTATGCTTATAGGGTAACAGTGGTGTGTCACAGTAAATTCTGTAATGTTTTCTGTGGCCTAAATGTGTCCTCTCTCTCCTGCTTTAGATCTATCCATACTAATGGAAATGTAACTGGAACTGACTTCGATGATAAAATCAAGGACCATCAAGCAAGATCATGCAGTAGGCAACTTTGCTTCCAAATGAAGTTACCAACATTTAAAATTTCTACTTATTCTAAGGTATTTGAGGCACAATTTTACTTTAGTTTTGACTCCTTAGTAGTCATTTTGTAGTGTTGATTTCTATACATAGGTTTGGTAAGTTTAAAAGTACTTATGTTAGAATGCTTAGCTCTTAGAGAAAAGTTCACTTCCCTCCTTTCGTACTATACTCCCAAAGAAACCAACTGAGAAAAGATGCAGATTTTTTTTTCAAAAGCCTGTAGTACTCGGTATTCTCATGTGGCCTCACAACCAATACTAACCAGGCCCGACTGTTCTTAGCTTTTGAGACCAGGCATGTTCAGGGTGGTATGGCTGTAGACAAGATCCAGATTTTAAAGGGATATATTTATTAAAATTAGGAAAGCATGTCAATTATAATAAATGCATTAAGTATAGATTAAGTTTCAATAACTATATTAGAAGAACTGGAATAAATGTCAGTTTAATAATTATTTTATTTGCATTATGACCACTGAGATAAGCAACTGAATGCAGCACTCTGAGTCCACCTGCATGATGTCAGAGACCTTATTGATTATCCTTTAGATGGTTTGAAACCTTGCTTGCCTTTCCTCCTAAACTTATTGTTAAGGATTTTCTGTTCACCAATATGTGTCACTGTGACTCCTCGTAGCCTGTTCCTGTAGGACCTTTGGGATATAATGAATTACTTGGACCAGAAAAGCAAGATATCTAATTAAAGAGTCAGGTGATACTTCCAAAACATGAGGTGGATCCCCACTTGAAAGACTACATAAGACAAATAAAACAAAAAGGAAATATAATGTCAACAGAAAGCAAAAATAGTTCAATGTTTTTACACATAAATTCCAAACAGGGAGAGTGAGTTAGGTTTTTATTTTAAAAACAAAATATTTTTGGCTGGCATGGTGGCTCACACCTGTAATCCTAGCACTTTGGGATGCCGAGGTGGGAGGATCACCTAAGGTGGGGAGTTCAAGACCAGCCTGACCAACATGGTGAAACTCCATCTCTACTAAAAGATTAGGTGGGCATGGTGGCGCATGCCTGTAATCCCAGCTACTTGGTAGGCTGAAGCAGAAAAATTGCTTGAACCCAAGAGATAGAAGTTGCGGTGAGCTGAGATCGTGTCATTGCACTCCAGCCTGGGCAACAAGAGCGAAACTCAGTCTCAAAACAAAAACAAAAACAATATTTTTTAATTTTAACTATATTTTTCCAAATAGGCAGAAAGTATGGAAAGTATTTTAGGGGACAGGTCAAAGTTTATTGATTTCTCTGAAAATATTACAGTTTTGTAAATTAATATTTTGCTAGAATATAGAGAAGGTAAAAACCTGAGAAAAATGTAAAAATGTATCACTTATTACTAGGATTCTTAACTTCTGTTTTAGAAGAAGACTGTGTAAAGCATAAATTGCAAAATAATAAGAATTCGTGATATTAGAAATCCTAATGTCACGGGATCCTTGGGGTGTTATATCACCAGCCAGAAACCTCTGTGGCTGGTGGTGCCTTTGTCTGAGTTTTGCTTGGGTCCACTGGGCACAATCAGTCTGGCAGGCCGTGCACAGCTTATACTACTGGCCTGGATCCCACACCTGCCAAGGGCGAGCAGAGTGGCGAGGGGTTTGTGAGCGAGTGAGCATGGGGTCCGGCCACTGTGCACAGCCAGGCATGCTGGCTGTGGCGGGGCAGGCAACTCCAGGCACCAGCATGGGTGTTGGCTCCCTGCATGCTGTGTTTGGACCATGTTTACCACAGGCGGCTTCCCTGGCTGGCCCCAGGAAACACAGTGGCACCTGGAAGCTTGGAGATGCCAGGAATCTCAGAGCCCCAAAGAGGGTGTCATGGCCCTGGTTTGGGGAACTCCTAGGTCTGGGCTCCCTGAAGGGCCGCAGCTCTTCTCTCCTTCTTGTCCCCCGCAATGTGGTGAGCAAGGAGCGTGTTTCAGTCCTGTTTGTGTTACAGCTCTTTCAACCTCGCCATTCAACAGGTTCCTAGTTATTGTCCCACACCCAAGAAGAATAAGGTAACATGCATAAGTGGAGGGTGAGCAAGGTGAACAGGAGTTTTATTGAGTGATAGAATAGCTCAGAGGAGACTTGCAGTGGGTAGCTCCTTTCTGTAGCCAGGGTGTCCTGATGAGTGTTCAGCTTTTGGCAGACAAGAGACCCTGGAGTTGAAGTGGGTAGCTCCTCTCTGTAGCTGGTCTTCCTATCCTCTCCTTGAAGTTGGCTGAGTCCAGGATTTTTATGGGCTTCTGAGTGGTTGAGGTGCATGCTGCTTAGTTCATGGGCAGCTATGGGCAGGCCCAGAGAAAGCACCGTAAGTTTCCATTCCGGTCCACAGGACTGGCATCCTGGCTCCCAGGCTTGAGGCATTCCCCGGTTTGAAGGTGAAGCTTCACCAGGGATCTGCCCCTTTCTGTCCAGGAGCCTCTCTGCCTCCTACAACTGTTCCTGGTGCCTAGGCTATTCCTGCTGAGGGGCACCTGCAGGCCAGCATTGAGTCTCTCCTTGGCTTCCCTCTTGTGCTCATCTGCGCCCACCCAGCTGGGTTGCAACAGTGCCTGGGCTTGGCCTCAACTTCGTTCCAAGATTGGAGCAGGTGCTGGGAGCAGGAAGAGGCCAGGCAGTGGGAGTAGGCACTTCTGAACCTGCAGGGAAATGGGGGGCCTTCCTCGGTGCAGAGAAACCTCGGTCCACAGTGGTGGCTGGGTGGCTGCAGCCACACCCAGGAGCATGGAACTTCTGCCTGCTCCTAGCCCCTGCCAGCTCAGTGGAGCACACAGCCCTGCCCCCATTTACCCCACTGCAGCTGCTCTAGATGGGCCACTGCTGCCATCACTAAGACTGCTCAACTACAATAAATGGATTACCTCCTGGAAGGGGTTAGTGTAATTGAGCAATTTTTGCTAAAGAAAAATCATCTCAGTTCAAGTAGCAGATGAAAAAGAGGTTACGTTGATGATAAGTTTTAACACTTCCCTGGCAACTTGTAGATGTTTTGTACTTTTCTTTGTTTTCTTGATGTCATTTGAACTCAAATAGTAATGATGACTAAATATATAATTTGTCTTAGTACCAGAGCCATTTTACTTGTTTTTCTAAGTATATCTTTTCTTCTTACTTTCACTTAGGAATATTAATGGACTGCCCAAGCTTTGCAAAGAATGATTCTAGATATGGGGAAGAATATAAATTATTCTGTAACTTCATTATAAATGAAATTGAAGGTATCTTTTATTCAGAATGCTAACTCTTGGGCTAGGAAGACTAAATACACCTATCTGAAGCCATTTATGTGTAGTCATAAGATGAGCACGTCAAATCACAATCTAGAATCCCTTTCTAAGTAATATACTTAAGCTCTGTATTCAGACCTTAACAAAAGTAAAGATTAGGGAACAGGAAGTTCTCATCAATTGAATTTGCTGCTTGGTTGTATAAAACTGCGACATAAATTAGGTTGCTTACATTTTTAAATTAGGAATTTATTACTTATCAGTTTCTTTTTTTAAGACAGAGTCTTACTCTGTTGCCCAGACTAGAGTGTACAGTGGCATGATCTTGACTCACCACAACCTCTGCCTTCTGGGTTCAAGCAATTCTCTTG